GATGGAACCGCCCACCACAGCAAATTTCCCAGATAACTGAAGTTTCATCCCAGATAACTGAAGTTTCATCCTTTCAGCCTCGGAGCTCTTTGAGACTTCCAGTCAGGTGACGTTGGTGCCTTATTTAACTCCCATGAGCCTCCGCTTTCTCAATGATAAAAGAAGTCACCATCTACTGGGTACGGTGGCTCATGCATGTAATCTCAGCACTTTGCGAAGCCAAGGTGGGCGGATCACGAGGTCAAGAGATCAAGACCATCCTGGCCAACATGGTGAAACCCCATCTCTACTAAAAATACAAAAATTAGCTGGGGATGGTGGCTCACAGCTGTAGTCCCAGCTACTCAGGAGGCTGAGGCAGGAGAATTGCTTGAACCCGGGAGGCAGAGGCTGCAGTGAGCTGAGATCACGCCACTGCATTCCAGCCTGGTGACAGAGCCAGACTCCGTCTCAAAAAAAGAAAGTCACCATGCAGGATGAAATAAGAGAATCGAATATAGTATCTGACACACATCATGGTACTAAGAAAGGGCAGTTTATTTCCCTTAATAATAACTTTTACTTAGTCATCATCATTATTTGTTGAGATGGAGTTTCGCTCTTGTTGCCCAAGCTGGGGTGCAATGGTGCAATCTCGGCTCACCACAACCTTCGCCTCCCAGGTTCAAGCAATTCTCCTGCCTCAGCTTCCCAAGTAGCTGGGACTACAGGAACATGTCACTGTGCCCAGCTAATTTTATATTCTTAGTAGAGATGGGGTTTCTCCATGTTGGTCAGGTTGGTCTCGAACTCTCGCATGTCAGGTGATCTCCCTCCTGAAGTGTTGGGATTACAGGCGTAAGCCACGGTACTCGGCCTTCTATTATTATTATTATTATTTTGGAGATAGAGTCTTGCTCTGTCACCCAGGCTGGAGCGCAGTGGCACAGTCTTGGCTCACTGTAACCTCTGCCTCCCGGGTTCAAGTGATTCTTATGCCTCGGCCTCCCAAGTAGCTGGGATTACAGGAGTGCACCACCATGCCTGGCTAATTCTTTTTTGTTGTTGTTGTTGTTATTTATTTATTTATTTGTCTTGAGACAGGGTCTTACTCTGTTGCCCAGGCTGGAGTGCAGTGGTGGGATCTTGGCTCACTGCAATCTCCGCCTCCCGGGTTCAAGCCATTCTCCTGCCTCAGCCTCCTGAGTAGCTGGGATTACAGGTGCATGCTACCATGCCTGGCTAATTTTTGTATTTTTGGTAAAGATTGGGTTTTTGCCATGTTGGCCAGGCTGGTCTTGAACTCCTGACCTCAGGTGATCCATCCACCTCAGCCTCCCAAAGTGCTGGGATTACAGGCGTGAGCCACTGCGACTGGTCTCATTTTTGTATTTTTAGTAGAGATGGGGTTTCACTATGTTGGTCAGGCTGGTCTCAAACTCCTGACCTCAAGTGATCTGCCCACCTAGGCTTCCCAGAGTGCTGGGATTACAGGTGTGAGCCACCATGCTCAGCCAGTCTTCATTATTTTAAAACTATGAGATGCAGTGTACTACAGTATAGAGGCCTATGGGGTCTGCCTCTCTGCCTCTGTAAGTGTCTGTGTACTACTAAGCTTTTTAAATTGTGTCTTTCCACACTGTGAGGCTGTCACACCACAGAACTGTCAGCATGCCTGCCTCTGGCGCAGTCTCCTCCTTCAACTTTGCCATGGACTGGGGAGGAGATGATAAGAGCTGTTTGACTCATGGATACAATCAGGTACTGCACTGCAGCCTCTGAAATGGATACAATCAGGTACTGCACTGCAGGCTCTGAAATGGATCAAACACAGACCCACCAGGAAAAGCCTCAATTCTTACATCTGTTCAGAGGCCTTTTCTTGTTGGGAAAGGAACACAGCTGGAGTAGCTGAAGCTGGCTGGTGAGTGCCCTCTGGGTAAGTGCTCCAGTCTGTGCTTGATGGACATTCTGCAGGGATATTGGGGGACCTGCCGTTCCCTGGTCAAGAATGAATCCACTGAAAGAAAGGCAGCGCCAGGAAAGACACAAGAACAGCCAGGCGTGAACTACCTAAATGTGTACCTGGGTGTCTCAACAGGCCTTTCCACAGCCTTTGGGTACTGGAGATAGAATAATAAGGCTCCCAACCCATTCCCTCCATTAGGGAGGATCGCTTCATAGAAACAAATACCCAAACAGACACAGTAAGTCTGACAGTGATGAGGAAAAATGAAGCAGGGTCAGGGGTCAGGGAATGCTACTCTGGAAAGGGTAGTCAGGGAAGGGAAGGTCTCCCTGAGGGAGTGCATATCTGAAGGAGTCAGGAAAATCTGGGGGAAGAGCATTCCAGGTAGGGGGAAGAGCAGGTGCAAAGGCCCTCACGTGTCAGTGGAAGGGCCAGGAGGTGAGTCTGGCTGGGGTAGAGTGAGTGGAGGAGAGACTGTCCGAAGCTGAGAGCAGAAACGCATTGTGGGGCCAGGTCCTGCTGAGTGCTGTAGGCTGCTCTCATCATAAGATTTGGCTCTGAGTGAGAAGGGATGCCCAAAATGGCTGAGCTGAGTGGCGATATTGATCAGACTAAGATTTTTTTTTTTTTTTTTTCGAGATAGAGTCTTGCTCTATCGCCCAGGCTGGAGTGCAGTGGCGCGATCTCGGCTCACTGTAAGCTCTGCCTCCCGGGTTTATGCCATTCTCCTGCCTCAGCCTCCCGAGTAGCTGGGACTACAGGCGCCCGCCACCTCGCCTGACTAGTTTTTTTGTATTTTTTAGTAGAGACGGGGTTTCACCGTGTTAGCCAGGATGGTCTCGATCTCCTGACCTCGTGATCCGCCCGTCTCGGCCTCCCGAAGTGCTGGGATTAGAGGCTTGAGCCACTGCGCCCGGCCCAGACTGAGATTTTTAACACCATCCCTGATATGGACGTGCTCAAGAGTGGAGGTTGAAGACCAAGCAGTGGGCTACTGCAATAATCCAGGTAAGAGATGCCAATGGTCTGGAGGTGGTGAGAAGAGGTTAGATACTGGACATACTTTAAGACAGAGCCTAGAGGCATTTGCTGAGAGACACAGAGAAATCAAGAACAACTCCAAAGCATTGAGCCTGAGCAGCTGGTAGAACGAAGGCGCAATTTACTGAGATTGAGCAGACTCAGGCAGGAGATGTGGACAACATCAAGGTTCTGTTTTGGATGTGCTGAGTTTGAGACACCTGTAGACACCTGTAGATAAATACTTGGTCTACAAGTCTGTAGTCAGGTGAAATCCGAGCTGGGGAGATCCATTCTGGAGTCTTTAGAATACAGGTATTTAACGCCTTGGAATACCTGAGCTCACCAAGCAGTGATTTTCACCAGGGGACATCGGGTTATGCGTGGGAGTGTTTCTTGTTGCCTGATGGCTGGGGGTAGGAGGGTACATCCCTGGCATTAAATGGCACGAAATAGAGATTCTGTATGTCCTGCAATATATGGGATGGTTTCTCATCATGAGTTATTATTATACCAAATTCCACTAGGCTCAAAATTCCAACTAGTGCCCTCGCTGAGAAACACTAACCTAGAGAGCACTAGTGGGAAAGAAATTGAAGCCTGAGGGCCGAGTGCCGGAGCTCACCAAGCACAGACGTCAGGAGATGAGCAGGAACAGCCAGGGCAGTGGGAGGGAGAAAGCGACTTCAAAGCCAAATAAAAATTATTTCTGAAATAGCAATTGCTGGAACTATTTGTGTCTTTTTCATCCATTCACATAGGAAAAATCAGTATTATTTGTTCAGTTGGCTCATAAACAAATGCTATTAAGTATTGACTACGACTATGCTATAGACCTGCATACCAACATCTAAAATAGACACTGGCCGGCCATGGTGGCTCACAACTATAATCCCAGCATTTTGAGAGGTTGAGGTGGGAGGACTGCCTGAGGCCAGGAGGTTGTAGGCTGTAGTGAGCTAAGATCTGCCATTGCACTCCAGCCTGGGTGACAGAGCAAGACTCTCCTTCTTCCCTTCTTTTTTTTTTTTTTTTTTTGAGACAGAGTCTCGCACTGTTGCCCAGGCTGAAATGTGAAATGTAGTGGCAGGTATCAGCTCACTCTAACCTCCACTTCCTGGGTTCAAGTGATTCTCCCACCTCAGCCTCCCAAGTAGCTGGGATTACAGGCGCCCGCCACCATGCTTGGCTAATTTTTGTATTTTTAGTAGACACTGGGTTTTGCCATGTTGGCCAGGTTGGTCTCAAACTCCTGACCTCAGGTGATCTGCCGGCCTCGGCCTCCCAAAGTGCTGAGATTACAGGTATGAGCCACCGTGCCCAGTCAAGACTCTGTTTCTATTTAAAAAAAATAATAATAAGGCCGGGCACGGTGGCTCATGTCTGTAATCCCCACACTTTGGGAGGCTGAGGTGGGTGGATCGCTTGAGGCCAGGAGTTCAAGACCAGCCTGGTCAACATGGCAAAACCCCATCTCTACTAAAAATACAAAAATTAGCCAGGCGTGGTGGTGCATGCCTGTAATCCCAGCAGGCAGAAATTGAGCCAAGATTGCGGCACTGTACTCCAGCCTGGGTGACAGTAAGACTCTCTCAAAAAATAAAACAAAACAAAACAAAATAAAAAATAACAATTTAATAATCAAAATAATAAGTAAATAAAATATATGACCAGCTTGGGAAAACTACCAATTAAATATTTAAAATATTAAAATATTATATTTTAATATTTATTTATTTGAGATGGAGTCTCGCTCTGTCACCCAGGCTGGAGTGCAGTGGCACGATCTTGGCTTACTGCAACCTCCACCTCCTGGGTTCAAGCAATTCTCCTGCCTCAGCCTCCTGAATAGCTGGGACTACAGGTGTGTGCCACCACGTCCAGCTAATTTTTGTATTTTTAGTAGAGACGGGCTTTCACCATGTTGGCCAGAATGGTCTTGATCTCTTGACCTTGTGATCCACCTGCCTTGGCCTCCCAAAGTGCTGGGATTATAGGCATGAGCCACCGCGCCCGGCCTAATCTTTATTTTTAAAGGATGGAACACTTTATGAATTTGCATGTCATCCTCAAGCAGGGGCCATGGTAATCTTCTCTGTATTTTTCCAATGTTAGTATACGTGCTGCTGAAGCAAGCATGTGAGACCTTGTCTCTGTAAAAAAGATTTTTTTAATTAGCCAAGCATGGGGGTGCATGCTTTTAGATCCAGCTATTTGGGAGGCTGAGGCAGGAGGACCACTTGAGCCCAGGAGGTTGAGGCTGTGGTGTGCTATGATCCTGCCACTGCACTCCAGCCAAGGCAACAGATCAAGACTCTGTCTCTATTTATTAATAATAATAAAAAACAAGTAAGTAAATAAAATATAAGCTGGGCATACCAAGCACTGTGAATGGTATAAAGTGGGTGTTACAGAAGTAAGGAGAAACGTGAGAATTTTCAGCTATGCTGATTGGCGAAGACAAACCTGAGTGAGTATTTGGATAGGACCTTACTCAGAGAATGGGTAGAACTTTAATACATAAGAAAAGCAGGTATAAATGGGAGCTAAACACATGGACAGAGATGGGAACAATAGACACTGGGGACAGGGGAGTGAGGGAGGAGCAAGGGTTGAAAAACTATCTATTAGGTATTATGCTCACTCCCTGGGCGACAGGTTGAATCATAAAACCTCAGCATCACATGATACACCCACATAACAAATCTGCACATGTACCCCATTCCCTGAATCTAAAATAAAAGTTGAAATTAAAAAAGAAAAAAAATGGCTGGGCACGGTGACTCACGCCTGTAGTCCTAGCACTTTGGGAGGCTGAGGCGGACGGATCACCTGAGGTTAAGAGTTCAAGACTGGCCTGGCCAACATGATGAAACCCCGTCTCTACTAAAAATACAAAAGCTGGCCGGGCGCAATGGCTCACGCCTGTAATCCCAGCACTTTGGGAGGCCGAGGAGGGCGGATCATGAGGTCAGGAGATCGAGACCATCCTGGCTAACATGGTGAAACTAAAAATACAAAAAATTAGCCAGGTGTGGTGGCGGGCACCTGTAGTCCCAGCTACTCGGAAAGCTGAGGCAGGAGAATCGCTTGTACCCGGGAAGCAGAGGCTGCAGTGAGCCGAGATGGCGCCACTGCACTCCAGCATGGGTGAGAGAGCTAGACTCCATCTCAAAACCAAATAAACAAACAAACAAAATACAAAAATTAGCTGGGCTTGGTGGCAGGCGCCTGTAATCCCAGCTATTCGGGAGGCTGAGGCAGGAGAATCGCTTGAACTGGAGAAGCTGGGACTGCAGTGAGCCGAGATCGCACCACTGCACTCCTGCCTGGGCAACAAGAGTGAAACTCTGTCTCAGGGAAAAAAAAAAAAAAAGAAAAGAAAAGAAAAAGTGAAGAAAAAGCAGTCCTCCCCACTTTGACATGAGAATCCCTTATGGAAATCAGTTCTGATTCTGAGCCTGACAATTCCAAGAACAGAATCAATAAACCTAAGCCAATCTAAGAAGTCACCAGCAACTGTCAAGGGCCTCATAAGCAACCAAGGATGTATCTCAGCTGCTGCTACGTACGTCAGGAAAGAGCACTGGCACTGGCACAGCACGTGTTTTCCATGGAACCTGGCAAGCCAGGCCTCTGTTCTATTAATAACTGAATATAAAACCCAAGATCAACTGAAAGGAAAAAAAACACCCCACCAGGATCCTGAGTGATTCACACAGTTGCCTAGAGAAGCCCATAGGAACAAATCAAATTCTTGTCCAGCAGACATAATTCTAGAGATTTCTTTCCTAATTATGTTCATGAATCTTAATATATTCAGACAATAAAAGCTCTTCTCCAAAAAAGTCCTTTAAAATTAAAAAGGCAGAGAAAGTTTTCAGTGCACATTTTCAAAGACTTCTCAACCCATTTCTTAGCTTCAGATAAGGTGTTTCAGATTTTTCCTATTCCAACCCTGCAATATGATTTCATGGAAGGAAAATCCCAGCAAGTCAGATCGCATATCATCAGACCCACAAATGCAGCCCGAAAGCAGCTCTGCCCGTGTCCAGAGGCAGATGGCCTGCAAAGCTGTCCAAGCCTCTGGACCACGTCCTCACCCGGGGCAACTGGTCCCACTGTTCTTTGTTCTTCATCTCTTCCTGCACTTCATGGATTCGCTTCAGAGACTCCAGACTTTCATCAAGCAAAAACGTCGTGTCGTTTATCAACATGTTTATATAGCGAACAAACTGCTTCCCGGAGCTGGAAAGGCAATTATATTGTGCATGGTCATACATCTCCCTGAAGCAAAACGCCACTGCAAATCCCAGGGAACAGGCGCCTCCACCCACACTGCAACTATCTCACCCTGAAAGCCTGCCTACCCTGGCACAAGTCAGGCACTGTGGAATTCAAGGACTACCAAGCTTCTCTTTAGATTTTGTTAATCTTGTTTCTTTTTGAGACAGGGTCTTGCTCTGTCGCCCAGCCTGGAATGCAGTGGCATGATCACAGCTCACTGTATCCTCGACCTCCAGGGCTCAAGCAATCTTCCTGCCTCAGCCTCCTAAGTAGCTGGAACTACAGACACACGCCACCATGCCCAGCTAATTTTTGTATTTTTTTGTAGAGACAGGGACTTGTTATAGTGCCAGGGCTGGTCTCAAACTCCTGGGCTCAAGCGTTCTTCCCACCTGAGCCTCCCAAAGTGTTGGGATTACAGAGATGAGCCACTGCACTTGGCCTGGATTTTTGTTATTCTTTTAAATTGTTTATGATAAGCTCATTCCAGTGGTGTTTGGAGCCACCTTGCATGATTGATGACAGTCAAGTGCTAAATATTCCAGAATTTTTTTTTTTTTTTGAGATGGAGTCTCGCTCTGTCGCCCAGGCTGGAGTGCAGTGGTGTGATCTCGGCTCACTGCAAGCTCTGCCTCCCGGGTTCACGCCATTCTCCTGCCTCAGCCTCCCGAGTAGTTGGGACTACAGGCGCCCGCCACTGCGCCCGGCTAATTTTTTCTATTTTTAGTAGAGACGGGGTTTCACCATGGTCTCGATCTCCTGACCTTGTGATCCGCCCGCCTCGGCCTTCCAAAGTGCTGGGATTACAGGCGTGAGCCACCGCGCCTGGCCTATTCCAGAATTTTATAACCAGATTCCCCTGGCACCTTAAATTGGGCAATGGAGGAAATAGTCACACCATGGAAAACCAGCAAATGCTGACTCCCCCACCCCGCTTCCCAGAGCAGGCTTACCTAGCTTACCCAGTTCACTTCCTCAGTATTTTTAAGGAGAGAAAACACGTTCTCCAGACTAGAACAGGAAATACGCATATACTCACCAATATACCAAGAAAAAGCAAATAATTAACCACATATAACAGATAACTACTGATATAGTTATTCCTTATCACAAAGACGCACTGAAGAAAAATTGGAACCTGTAATATTGATAAAGTGGGATATTAACTTACTTTAGAACCAGAAGCTTCCAATCTAAGGAACTGTTCTGCAAATCGTGTTATAACGAGAACTTGTCGGTGAACTGAAATAGCTTGGCCTACCTCTGTTAGACTCTGGAGCTGCCAGATTCGTAGAGAAAAAGGAAGCTACACTTTAGGGTCTACAACTGTGCACTTGAGGGGTGGTAAGCCCATGCCTGCGGAAGAGAAGTTCCTGTGAACAGGGACAGGAGGCTTCAATCTTAGGAACATGGTAAGTTCAGGACAAGTGCTCCAACCAGCACCATTCAGACCAAGCCATGGGCCTGCCTCGTGTCCTAAGCTTGTGCCAGGCTTTAGTTGGAACACAATTCTGACCATAAGAGCAGTTTATGGAAACAAAAAGTTAAAGAGTTTGCTCCACAGAAATCTATCTAGCAATAGTTATTCCACTGGTAATATGTATATTATTGACTAGTAATTTGGTTAACAAGTACAGCTAGATTTGATCAAAGATCTAACATGGGTTGCAAAAGATCCAAGAAATGGGATAAAATTATTATTTATTTATTTACTTATTTATTTTTTTCAGAAAGAGTCTTGCTCTGTCACCCAGGCTGGAGTGTAGTGGCGTGATCTTGGCTCACTGTAAGCTCTACCTCCTGGGTTCACGCCATTCTCCTGCCTCAGCCTCCCAAGTAGCTGGGACTACCGGCGCCCGCCACCACACCCGGCTAATTTTTTGTATTTTTAGTAGAGACGGGGTTTCACTGTGTTAGCCAGGATGGTCTCAATCTCCTGACCTTGTGATCCGCCCACCTCAGCCTGGGTGCTGGGATTACAGGCATGAGCCACCGCGTCCGGCCCTTAGACAGGATAAAATTTTTGAAGAATAATCCAAGAGTTCAGCATTTTCATCTCCCTTTTGTTTTTAGACACTGACAGATAATTTAGATGGGATTACTAATGTCCAGGTTTAAGCAGTCACTCAGATTTCAGGTAGGTATATGAAAAGTCTTTAATTAAGGTTTAGGGCCTTACCACAAAGAATGATACTTTAAATGACAGCTCTAACCTAATTGTTGCAAAATCTAAAGTCCTTCCAACGTTCAAGAACTAAGATTTCATTTCACTCATTTTGACAACTTCATTTAACACTGTCATCATAGAAACACCAAAAAAACACTTAACCCAACATCTCAGCATATTTATAGGATCTTTTCTTTTCTTTCTTTCTTTCTTTTTTTTTTTTTTGAGACGGAGTCTCGCTCTGTCGCCCAGGCTGGAGTGCAGTGGCCGGATCTCAGCTCACTGCAAGCTCCGCCTCCCGGGTTTACGCCATTCTCCTGCCTCAGCCTCCTGAGTAGCTGGGACTACAGGCGCCCACCACCTCGCCCGGCTAGTTTTTTGTATTTTTAGTAGAGACAGGGTTTCACCGGGTTAGCCAGGATGGTCTCAATCTCCTGACCTCGTGATCCGCCCGTCTCAGCCTCCCAAAGTGCTGGGATTACAGGCTTGAGCCACCGCGCCCGGCCTTTTTTTTTTTTTTTTTTTTCCTTCTGAGACGGAGTCTCGCTCTGTGGCCCAGGCTGGAGAGCACTGGCACAATCTTAGCTCACTGCAACCTCTGCCTCCTGGGTTCAAGCAATTCTCCTGCCTCAGCTTCCCAAGTAGCTGGGATAACAGGCGTGTGCCACCACACTCAGCTAA